TCTCTCTCTCTCTCTCTCTCTCTCTCTCTCTCTCTCTCTCTCTCTCTTCCACACACAGACACACACACTCACACATTCACACACCACAGCCTAGCCCAGGCAGTGGTGTCAGTCTCACATCCAGAAACAGTGTCATTTTCTCTGTTGCCCACATGGTAAACACACTGGTTGCCATGGCACTGATTGTACGGTGTAAATATTAAAATACGTCTGCTTGGGGGAAGGGGGGTTCAAGTGCTCTCTCGGGAACAGGTGTGTGTGTGTGTGTGTGTGTGTGTGTGTATAAGGGCTTGGGTCAGGGTCTTTATAATTTGATCTATTGAAGATGTTTGGAAAGTGAGATCATTGAAATTTAGTCGACTGAGAATTTTAACAAAACTTGAACTTTACGTAGCAATGACAGAGATTACTTCTTAATAAATAGGTTCGATGAACCTTCAGAGGACAAAAAAAAGTGTTTCATATTTGTGTTTGTTGTAGAAAATTCATACCTGAATTAGCTAGATTGAGATCAAATTGCCCAAAGCCCTTGAAATGTGTGTGTGATGTGTGTTGTGTTGTATCGGCAGATACCACCCCTGTCCTGGAAAACTGTGATGTCAGCGTGTCCATGTTTACTTCCTGTTTTCAGAATCAATAAATAAAGAAATAAAAGTCTTGGATGAGTCACATCCGTCTCCATGGCGAGGCTTTTCCTTGTCATGACACACGCAGATAAACACACACACACTCACACACACACACACACACACACACACACACACACACACACACACACACACACACACCTAAACAGGATGTGTTCACTCAAACGTCAGGACGTCTTGTTTGGGACGTTTCAGGTTAGAGTTACATTTCAACATAAGATAAATAAATAACAATAAATATGAATTGTCCCAAAGAAGAGTAATGAATGGGAGTTAACAAATCCTTGCTGAAAGTCTACACACATACACACACACACACACACACACACACACACACTCTCCTAAATGCAGCGCTCCAAGGCACGGGGACCGGGTGGGTGTGGGCTACTCAGTCTTTTCTGTTTTCCCGTCTTTGCTCTGGGGCTCGGATGTTTTCCGGAGCTGCGTCTTTTCTGAGCTGCTGTTGATCTGTTGGTCGGTGGGTCCGCCCGTTTTCCCGCTCGAGTTTTTGTCCAGGTAGTTGAGCATCTCACTCAGCACCGTCTGGAAGGTGCTGAGAGCTGCGCAGACCGCCGGCGTGCCGAATCCGTGAGTGATCAGACTGTTAGGGAGGGGAAGCAGAAGCAACCATCAGAACAATGACAAACCTTTGTTTCATTCAAAAGAAGAAATAAATCAGAGGTACAGTTTGGGTTTGTAAGGTTTACTGAAGTAGAGCAGATTTCTTTGTCTCTCCTTTCCTCTCCCTGCATTAAGAGCTTCTAATCCCCCTAAAAGAGTGTCTACAGCAGAGTTTAAATGTCCTCTTACCCTCTAAATGCTGTTTCCACCCTGCTTCTATTACAATGGACAGGGAAACACTGAATACTACAGCTGTTTTAGCAATTTCTACTCTGAATATACAGTCAGGTTTAAACATTGATGCATTGTTTGGTTGATTGACAGTAAAACGACTGACCGATAATCGATTTTTCATTATTATTTTAGACAAAAATGCTGAATATTTCCTCGTTCTACCTTCTAAACTGAGTATTTGCTGCTTTTCTTTGTTTGATGTGATAGTAAACTGAATATTTTAGGTGTTCATGGGACAAAACAAGACATTTAAAGACTTTTTAGATGGATATTTTTCCATATAATAATCCATAAATAATCCTTACTTGCTGCCCTAATACAGATTATATTATACATGGCTTCAACACATACAGTAGCTGTGAAAACTAAATTTAAAATCTACCCTAACAGACCGCTCTTTACATTCTATTTTTTCCAGTTCTATATATACTATAAACAAAGTTAACCCCACAATCCAAAAATGGCACGTAACATGCCATTAATTAAAGTCAGTAAAAATATAAAAGCACCACAAGACTGCTGAATAACAATAGAGGGTATATGAGCTTAGAAAAAAGATAAATAGCCATAAAATTGGTTTTAAGAATTGGGTTTCCATTGTGATACTGGTTTGTCCGCCTTGTCAGATCCTTTCTCGCAGAGCTAAATGTCAGGTCACCTCTCAGCTGCCACAAGGACGCTCTTCAATCTGTCATAACTGTATTTCTACAACCGTCTTATTTTTCTGCCCAGCGCCCTACACTGCATCTCCCTTTGGAGGTTTGATAAAACTGTGTATATTCTGCGACGGATGACGCCATAGATGTGACATTTCTGCTAACAAGCCGCTGTTCCCCTCCTCCTCTGTAATTTGTGCCAAACGACAAACTGCACAGCTGCATTTTTCGAAAATGGCAAAGCGGTCAGAGCCAAAACGGAGGGAAGCCGGGCTCCGTTAAAAACTGTTTGCACTCAGTATTGACTCCATTACTTAAAAAAAAAAAAAGTCCATTACTTCTGTGTAGAAAGCATGTGTTACCTGAAGTGTGTGAGGTGTCTCTGGATGTCCAGGTCAAGGATCGGGGTCGGTCTGGAGGAGCCCAGAGGAGAGCGGTCTTGGCTCAATAAGTCCTGGAACTCCTTACAGATTTGCCTGATGGACAGACGGAGGGAGGGAATGAGGGTTGACCATCTGTCTCCAACACAACCGTCACAATTTGTCTTTTTTAGGTTTTTTTCCCCCTCCTTGCACCCATCCTCATCATTTTCATCAAATCCCACCCAGCAAACAATTGAAGAAACATCACATGCAGGAGCGAGACAAGTTCGATGTCAATCCAAAAACGAGCAAAAATCACTTGATACACAACGTGATACTGGAAATTCTGCAAGTGTGGAGTCAAAGTTGGTTTTTCAGCATCGGTCTATAGGTTGTCTTTTTGGATCAAACTTGAGAAGAAAGAGTGGGAGCCTCAGCACATCCAGTACTCAGTGTGCAGTAGTGCTAGTAATAATGTACTGTAAATGCTGCTCATACTGTTATACAAACACAAGTACTATTGTGATTACAATATCTTTAAATTCAAATACAGTATATGCTCTGTGCATGAACAGGGTATGTAGTTGGGATCAGGAGGCTCACCTCACTCATGGCAACACTCTCTCCCTGCTGTGCATGACGGTTATTTTTTCATATACTGTCCTTCTTGTTAACCAAACCTTCTCTAAACCTTTATTACATTTTCTCAATTGTCTGACTCTCACATATGAAACCACTAGATTTCTTGTTTAACATGTTGGTTCAAGCACTTTTTATAAATATTTTCCCTCAAGATAGGCGGTTAGTAGTAGTGTGACTATAAAGTGGCTGTAAATGAGAAAATAAGGTGTTAAGTGAAAGAAAAATTGGTTCTAAAATGACCCATTTTTCAGAAACACTTCACAATCGAACATTCTGCATCTTGCGGAGAACATACATTCTAAACGGTGTCAGTGTGTCTGTGCTGTTTTATTAGTTTTGTGTGTGTGTGTGTGTGTGAACGCATTCTCACTTTGTAGCCAGGACCATTTTCTTGCGTGCGCTGGTTTCTTTCGGCTCGTTGTGCTGCCTCGCCAAATGTTCCCCCACTGCCTTGCTGGGGAACTCTGTCTCGCAGGTGTAGCCGAAGTCCCTCGCCAGGTGGAGCGCCTCACCTGAGCACGAAACCAGGGGAATGACCGATGAAACGAGCGCTACGAGGATGGAATGCGTAAAACTGGAATATATCTGAAGGTATGACCAAAATGTTGTGCAAAATCTTCTCGGACAACAGTCCCTTACCTTCCACCAGGGAGGTAAGCAGTGTGACGTTGGCAGCTTTCCTCCGTCCTGCCGGCAGGTTGAGGCCTAGGCGGTCTAACTTTTCCCGAAGACACCGGCCTCCGTTCTTAGACTTCGCTCTGCGGAAAAGTTAAACAACTTCTTAAGTCACATCTTCCACATCATCACACTATGTCATTTTTATAAGACACAAAATGTCATCATCATCTTCATCATTCATCACCCGATCTTTAAAATTGAACCAAAATACAAATAAAACCATCTGGCCTCCTTCTACTACAAAACAACGTGTGCTTAATTAAGTCTTGAAAGTACAAACGGAAGAATATAGATTTGCTTTGATTTGACAAAGGCGTGCAATTAAGCATAGAATCAAAGAGTATAAAATTAAAACATGTCAACTCGTAATATATGAAATATGCTTTCTTGACGCATAGATATGGTTGCATGTCCCCTTGAGTTTCGTCTGTCATTGTTTGAGCATTTGTCTCTTTCCGTTTTGGACAGCAGAGGAACAATGGTCCCTGTCATTTCTTCTTCTTTTTATGTGAAATTTTAAAACCATACGTGCTTACTTTCTATTATTATTCCAATTAGGCTCCCAAAAGATCCTTTTGGGACATTTTGATTGAAATTACTGAGGGTTTTCATTCTGGAAAAAAAGTGCCTTCACACTTTCACTTGAGATGAACTTCTGAACACTGATCGTGATTTTGGCTTCGATACACACATACATGTTGTCATCTGTGAGAATAATATCCGTATGTGATTTGTTCTACTCCAGATGAGGATCAACACCTCTATTTGCGCGTGTTTTTATTATTATTTTTTACTTTGTTGATGCCTCATCTTGTAGGACTGGCCATATTCTCTCTCCTCTTCCTCCCTTCCCTGTCTCTCCGCCTCATCAATAATACAGTGCTGGCAACTCTTGCTTTCCTCTGGTTCCTCTGATCCTGGCATGCTTTGGCCCGGGTCTTGCCTCCCTCTGGCTCCCTGGGCATGGCGGCGCGTGCAGCCCCGGCCCTCGTTCGCCTACAATAGTCTTTGTGGGCGCTGCTGTATATCCTCTGTTTCATCTGAGGGCTACAAAGACTCAGGCAGCACTCTCCAATGTTCACCAGCCAGATTTGCGCTTTAAAAAACCGTGTTCTCAATCTCAAAAATCCATCTCTGTCACACTCTATACTTCAATTTTCATTTGTTATGGGATATACAGGGGGTGGACAAAATAAAGGAAACGTTTTTTGATAATCTAATACAAACCAAAAGAACAGCCCCGCAGTCCGAGTTGCTGATTTATGAGGCTATAGATTTTGTGTTGTTGCATTGTTTTACCTCCCTTTCACTACCACACTTAAACAACCCAGCTGCTGCAAGATGAACTAAATATTTTTGCAGTTTTGTGTCCTCTATCAATAATTTTTTCGTCAAACAATCAAGACATAAGGATTGTGAATCAGTGGATGTATTAGGAGAAACTTTAGGTCTGAGAAAACTGTTAATGGAGTTACTATAAACATTTTCTTCAAAGCTGTCAGCAACTAAGGTTCTCTGCAACAACAAGACGCGTTGGTTCTATAACGGTTCTATAACGAGCCAAAATGTACCATGTCAGTGGTAACAACTCAACCAAAAGAGTAAGTCAACAAATCAGTGCACCCTCTTGAATCGTCTACATTTAGATCCATTAGAGAACCCTTGTCCTGCACCGCCATGCACCGTGTGTGCGTTTGTACTGACCTGCGCAGTATGCCGCCCAGTAGGGAGGCGTTGAGGCACTCTGGTGGGGACAGTCTTCTTTTCACCTCGGCGATGGTGACTTTGTACTTGGAGGTGGAGCTGAGCAGCGACAGTCGGCCCGGTACCGAGCAGAACAGATCTGTGGGATTCACCACGCATGTCCCCCCTGCACACAAACACAGCACACTTGTTACAACAGCTGGCCCAAAAAAAAAATGGTTGTTGTTGTGCGTACCCCACCAGTTGAGACAGTGGTTACGGTTGTATCATTGTGCTCACTTATCAAACTTGATATTTTTATATTAAGCGCCTTAAATTTGTCACACTCAGTCTACATTTCTGTTTACACAAATTAAAGATGAAGTGTGATCTGATTTCTGTCGCTAAAAACACACAAATCCCCAAAATGTCACCTTTTATTGAACTAAGAATAACAGCCCTCTCCCCCCCCCACCCTTTTTATTTTTACCAAATCATTTTTAAACAAAGTGTTTCATAGAACAGTAAATAACCAGTTCCCGGTCACAGCGGTTTGCTTTGGTGATTGGCATGGAGCTGTGCTGTGAGCATAACTGGCTGTGTGTCATTTGAACAAACAAACACTGTGTTTCAAGTCATATAGGAGTGAATGCATAATTGGCAAAGTATTTCTCTAATGATGCTGTGTGTCAACAGATGAACCAACATGACGCTGAAATAATGCAGCGCAACCACGGAACCACTGAAACAAAGAAGTGTGGAGAAATCCAGCAGATTTCAAACATTTTGCTACTTTAAGTTGGATGAACGCTTTTTATAGATTAATGGGGAATTGTACTTTGTATCTGTTGTACTTCTGTGTACTTCTGCAGGGTCTAATGATTGCTCACAACATCATTTAACAGGAATGCTGAGCCACCGTTTGGCACAATTTACAGTGTATTGATAATTGTTTGTTTTGACAGCGCACTGATTATAATACAACAAACGTTTGTGTTATTTTGGAAAAGCCCCTATGTGGCCACAAGCTTGCATATTTAAGGAGTTAGGTTCATCATTTAATTTTTAGTAATATTCAATTGCATTATGCCACGAACACCTTCTCTGATTTAAAAGTACATCAGAATAAAGATAATATGTGAACAACCAAGATCTACTTCTTCTGGATGTTCAGTTCCACTGTGTTAGGATTTGAACATGCACACAGGACATTAACCCAAACTTCTCTCAGCGCACTAACTAACTGCCTCAACACGTATATACAATACACAGCCATAAACAGCGGTTATAATCTGAAGATTTACAGTTGAACATTTATTTTCCAATTTGATTAGATACTGATCAGTAACGTGTCAACAAAACAAGGATATTCAGTAAAGATAAAACATATTAACAGCACTAATAATAATGATAATAATCAGCCTTGTGACATCCAGACAAGAAGCAAAACACAGTGCGAAGCCAAAAGCACTGAAGAATATTATGGGGCCTCCTTTAATCTGAGGGATACCTCATTTTGTAATGAATTCTGCAAGTAATGAGAGGATGCTGTATGTATTTTTTCACTGTAGAGCTTCAAAAGCCTTTTCCTTTATTTTTGGTGTGGGTGCTTTCAGGCCTGTACCGAATGTGTCCAATAAAAATCAATTTAGACCTTGAAAAGCCTTGACTCATAGAAAATACATGTACATTATATTCCGACAGGGAACTAATGCATAAAAGTGTAAATAGTGTATGTACTATTCACAGTGAATGGAAATGTTAGGATTGTTAGAAAGTCTGTACAGGAAAAATGTTCAACATACTGTAACTAACTACTTTCAACATGTCTTATAACACCAAAATCCTTTAGAAAACTTAAAAATGTTTTTATATTTACTACTTTTCTTTTGTCCTTCACACAAATTGAGGATGCAGCCTATTTTGATCTCTTACACATCATCAAAATGTCGTCTTTTCATGATCTTAGAAATCCACCCTGTCTCCAGCTTTGTGACGATACATTTTTCAGATAATCCAATGGATCAGTAATGGAGTATGTATTTTAAGATGTAGGATAATTATTTCAAAGAGCAAATAGTCATTTAGTTTGTATGAAACAAATTGAAGGTACTTTTTTCCCTGGAAGTCTGGCTGGTAGGCTACATCATTCTTCATGGTGCAGCTAACATAACATATCTTTAAATATTAGTTTTTAAATCAAAACTTAATCCAGAAAAGATTGTGTCATAAATAAAAATACATAGGATCAAGTATCTCCAATAACCACTGAGATCAATGTGTTTTGCTTTGCACTTCATCAGTCGGCTTTGCACTAGTTAAATATGACATTTTTCACTATGTACATATATTTATATTCCAGCTCAATATTTGACTGTATAGAAGACAAGTCTGCTGTAATCTTTCATGAGAATTTCCATAATCACCTTCCACCAAGCTGATCTCATTGTGTACCCCTGGATGTGTGTAATTGCGTCTGAATCAGTGTTGCTGCATCCTCCTGGAATACATCGACTGCTCTGAGCAGGCCTGTTATTATGAAACTTTCACTATAAGGTCCCAAGCAGCTGAAACGCAAGGTTTCTGTCTGATGTACAGTGGGCTATATTCTATTATTCATCTGGCTCATTATCAAATCCAACAGCAGGGCGTGTCGCTTTGTTATTAGGTCGTGCTGGATATGATGGAATGAAAAAAAAGGATGCCATTTAGGCTGAGCAGAACAACGCTGCAGGCGAAGATTGCCCCGCACACGCCAATCTTTTTGGGGGCAATGGGGACAATTTGGCCACCGACGATACGCCTTAAATATATGAGCAACTGCAGCCTATATATTTGCTCTAAAAATCCATTATTCACAACAGCAGAAATGTGTTAGTTCCCTATCATTTCCATCCATCTGGCCGCAGGAAGGAAGCTTTAAAAAAATACAAAAAACGTGTCAGCCAGCTTCAGCACCGCGCACAGCGGATTCACCTTTCATTTCAGCACCTGGACAGCGACCTCGTGCCCACGGCGCAACTGTGACATCATAATGGTGTGGTAACAAAAGCCTGTTGTAGCCCGGGCTACTCCGGCGGGCAGCACTTTGTGCGAGGCAGTATGGGACTTGTATTTCACTCAGGCTGTCAAAAAATGGACGACTGCAGGTCTAGGGAATCCATTGATGCTATATTGGTTAAGGAACTCCTGTGTGTGTGCGTGTGTGCGCGTGTGTGTGCGCACGTGTGTGTGTGTATGTGTGTGTGTGAAGTCCGGCTCGTCTGCGTCTGTATGTGACACAAACACTGCAGACCTGTCTGTCAGACTCACGCGCTCTGACAGGGGCGCGCGTCTCTGAAAGCCGCGGGTTCACATCATATTAATTCCCCTAAAAATGTTTTGATTCAAAGTAGTTTGTATTTTATGTTGCCAAGGGCAATCGAAAAAGAGCTATTGCCGGTAGTGCAGTCAGTGGAGCGCGCGGGCCCAGAGGCGATAACGGTATTTAAGCAACGGAGAGTAGCCTCGGGCTGCGGCGCGAGCGGCGGGCGGGATCACACGCGGAATCAAGCGCCTTTTACGAGTTTGCCACGAAAATTAAAGAAAAAGAGACACGGGCCAAATGTCATTCTCCTCATATTTTAACAACAATGTTTACAGCTCAAATAAAAGCCCGCCAATGTCTTGACAGAATAGAGAAGGGGGCGCGTGCACGGGGCTACAGTGGCGGGGGCGCGCGTCTGACAGATCAGCTTGATCTTGAGAGGCTGCTGTTATAAGAGCTCCACTGGAAAGGGGGATCGCAGGGTGATTAAAACACAGACGACTCCTCCTAAGTAGGATCCGCGTTTCTTGAGTGATTTTCTTTTGAAAAAGGTTATGTGAATATTCATGCCGCCAAAGCCGCAGTCAGAAAGAACAACATTAATATGATCTCGGCTGAATCCGGGGCCCCGCTCGGCATTAGCATATCAAAGCGTCCGCCCGAGGCGAGAGAAGCTATCGATACGGGAGCGGGAGGTAAAGCAAAGATTATTGGTTGTGATGGTTGCAGCGGCTGAGCTCAGGGCCAAATACGGCGCACCATTAACCGAAAGTGATAGCGAAGGGATTCCCGCGTCAATCCGAGAGAAAAGCCCCAACACCTAGGCAGAGCTGATGAAAAATTAAACCCGAGACACAGCCTTCCTGTCTGTATGGAAACAAATAAATAAAAGAAAAACAGGCTTTGATGGACCTATAAAGCAGATCCACGGCGGGTTTAAAACCCAGACTCATGAGGAAAGTGGCTGATCATATGTTGATGTATAGGCCGAGAGCCCACTTCCACATTTGACCCCTGAACAGTGAAACTGAGCCGCCTTCACCTTAAAGGCTATGCTACTGTCTCTGATTAAACAAAAAACAAGTCACTGCACCAGAGAGATTGCATTATTCCTGGGAATTTGGGATACATAACAGTTCATAGATAAACACAACACCAAAATAATTAAATTAAATAGAATTTGCCTAGAAACGCGTAATACTGAGCAGCTTAATGGACATTATATCCTCCATTGTTCCATGTCGTTTTCCAAAATATATTAACGATGTTTTATGTTATGTCAAACTGAATTGGATTCATTTATTGACAAAATATAGACATTACAGACCTATAATTTAATTTGCAGGTGATTAGTTTGTTTAATTAAGCCCCACAGCCTTTAGTGCTTTTTTTGTCTGCAAAATCACGCATTTATAGAGGATATACTAAAAACTAAAAGTTGTAGCATAAATATTCCTTGAATCAATGTTTGCTATATCATTTTATTACAGGCGAGAGATAATATCAGGATAGCAATGTTGGGGAATTATGATGAATTTGTGATGTCAAAATAAGCATGAATATTATATTAAAATATTGATTATTTAATGAAGAAAAAAGCAAGCCGCCAGTCTTCACTGTTAAAATGTAGCCCACAGGTTTGACTTCAAACACCAAGTGTATGTTGTAACTATAATATATCAAATTCACATCTGAAAGGTTATACACTATCAACCCAGTGCCATGTTAATTTATGACTTTATTGACATTTTAATTTCCTAGAAAGAACAACTCGCAAAGACAGAGGGACTGGTAAAAAAACAACAACCCCGGTACAGGTGTTGAGTGACAGTCCATTTCATACTGGAAATGGGAAGCACCGTCTCTGCCCGTGTACAGTGTGTTAGTGTTTAAATAGGCGACGAGACGGGGCCCCGCTCCTGCTGTAACATGTTGACAGCAGACAAGAGAGCAGCGTTCCGCCCTGTTTGTCTGTCTGCTCGCTGTCGAGTCGCTGAGCGTTCACGGCCCTCCGGTGCAACAGTAGAGAGAGAGAGAGAGAGAGAGAGCGAGAGAGAGAGAGAGAGAGAGAGAGAGAGAATGAACGGGGGCCCTTACCTCTCCGGATGACGCCCCCTTGGCCGTTCAGCACGAGCCCACACTGCGCTTCCACGGAGCCCTGTGGAGACACGCGCTCATTAGCACGAGCAGGGCATGGTGAAATCACTTCACCCAGATTTTACACATGCTGCAGCACAGTTTACCCGCGCTGTCAGGAACACCTGGAATTAATGACGCTTCTTTTTTTTCTGGGAGCTGTGATACTTTATGGACATCCATTTACCATCACACAACATTCTCTTAGAAAAAATCTTAGAAATGAAACTAAGACCATAATAATGCAATGCAAAACAAACCCTCTATATTTAAACATACACGTTATGACACTGTTGCTGATCTGGAGCACTCCATGTTACTAAATGTTTTTTTTCGGCACCATGCATGTGTCCTGTGAATCTATAGTTTAGTGGACCCTTACAATTTGATTTGTGTCCACTAACTTGTGTGATTATGATTAATTGACCAAATGTGCTTTAACTTCAATGATTGAATAAGCAACATTTTTGTGTAGCAGAATACATTTTTTTTATTATTTAGTACAACCGTATTATATGACCCCTGAGATGTACCTGACGGACCCTTTGGGGGTCTTCACATATAGGACCAAAGGCCACCGTATGTTTTTGCAATAATAAGTTAAACACTACATTTAGCTTCTGACCAGCATTCTGAACAACATTCTAGTGGTGGAAGCCTTTTTGCTAGAAAGTGTACGTCACTTAGCAGTCTTTGAGTAAAAATTGAGGGCACATTAAAATAAAGGATGCAGCTCACGGCTCACCCAGAAACGAGCTTAATTTGAAAGGCTTCAGGCTATAAACGCGAGGACAGCACAGCTCGTCCAGACTGAGAAATGAGCACAAGTGTCCAGAGTTTGTTGAAAGCCACCAACCTGTTGGGGAATCACTCTGCATAACACACACACACACACACACACACACACACACACACACACACACACACACACACACACACACACACAAACACGCAGCCTATATGGCCTATATGCATGGAAACCTGTTACCGCCGCCATTTTGGTCCAGATCAGACTCGCGTGCTATCAATGTCATCACGAAAAGGAGAACACGCGCTTTTTATTCAGAAAAACTCTTAATCCCCCGTGCGAGCCTCGAGGCCTGGCCCACGCAGAAACCCCGATTAAAATAAACTGGGAGAAAGGAGCGTGTTGTAGTTCTTTCTTAACCAGCTCCTGCTCTGTTTCTTTTCTTCTATTCCGAAGCTAAAGTGATTATAAAATCAATATACAAAACGCAGAGGTCTTGCATGAATTAGCTTAGTGACGGGGGAAAGGTGTGGCAGCTGCTTTTGTTCAGCATGAAAATCTCTTTAACTCGCTCAAAGATGCGACCGGGCTGCACGAGGCGCATCTGTTCCGTTCATACATCCGCCGCGTGCAAGCTCAGGTTCACGGGCCGTTTCTTTCTTTTTCTCAATAGAGGGTCAAACCTGTGCTCTTTTCAAGTGCCAGCAGCTTAAGATAAATATAGTATTTGCCTTAACAATGATCCACTATGAGCCTTTGGGTTTGAAAAATGATATAAAATAAAATAGAATCAAAAATAATAAGGCAACATGACTTACTATTACTATAGTACTTTTAGACTACTGTAATGCAACAATAAATGTTAATACATTTAATATTGTTGTAATTATCACCGAATTCAAATTAATACACTCAAACAATCGTGTAAAATATTCCATGATGACAGAAATAGCAATATAATTAATAAAAACCATGCAAACACAAATTTAATTTCAGAAATAAGCTTCTGTAATATTTAGGTACAGTTCATGTTATATATATTTTTTTCTATTTAATGCATCATCAACCTCAGGCTATAGGCTGCTGCCACACCCTTCAAACTAAGCAAAACAAATTAATTAAAAGAAAAGAAAAGTAAAATAATTACTGTCATACAATATAATAACTATTAGGCTATTGTTTATCGGCATTACATGAGTATAGTTGTTATTATTATTGATGCTATTTAAACATATAGTGTAAACATTAGGATACGTTCGGGGTATGTAGCGTAGTGACTTCTAAAATTGTCGATAAAAGCGACGCTTTTATCGAGCTGAACTTCGAGTGGGTTGGTAAACACTTAACGCGACTGAAATGATGTGTCGCTGTGTTAAATTGTGTTTAACTAGAGACGTGTGTTAAGCAGCTCAGATGTCGCTGCATAAGCAACAAAGTTGATTGACGTTAAGTCGGTAATTGGATAAACTACGGTGCTTTATGGTGCTCGAGCTGGGCATTGTGCCCTGAACCCCCGATCCGTTAATCCGCCCTTTACCGGAGAATAGAGCAACCAGCGGCTTTTCTTTGCCTCAACAGACAGCCGGACACACACACTCACTCACACACACACTCACACACACTCACACAGAAGAACCGTGCGAATCCGTTTTCATCTCGACCATTTCTTTACATCGAAAAGAATTATGTAAAATATGGGTCACGTGTGTTTCTGCGAAAATAAAGGGCGGATTTCACAATAGGATTGTATAGACTGCCAGTCAATTAACCTTTAGAAACAAGGCCTTGCCTTTCAGAGGCACGGCGCCGGGTGGACTTGACATTTACTCAAGCCTGTTACAGTCACGTTTGGTGTGGCAACAAAATCACCTCGAGACCGATATCAATATTATTTACTCCTAAGTAGGACAGCCGGGGTGGCTGGGGATAACCTACAGGCCAAATGTGATGCAGCCTCGTCGGTGTCATAGACAACAGACAGATGAAGCAGACAGGCAGACAGACAGACATCTGGCGCTGTCTTTCTGTTCAATATTTTGGAAATGCTGTGTTGCTGGTACAATAGGGGGAAGAAGGGGGGGTTGAATAGTAGGCCAGTGGGGCAGGGATACTGAACATGGCAGCTATAAGAGTCTGTATTATGATCATATCTGAATAAACCAGAAACATGAAGCCATAAGTGAAGGTACAATTAGATGTTGGATCTGAGGCCATGAGGTGATGGGACACTGGGAATAAGCGTGGGGGGGGGGGGGGGAAGAGTGATGGAGGCCGCCAGTACCTGCAGGTCGTCCGACCCGGACGAAGGGAGACCCAGGCCGGCGGCGGGCAGCAGCCTCTGGTCCCCGTGGTGCATGCCGACGCCGTAGGCCTGGGAGCCGTGTGACGTCATCAGAGACAGGTCATGGCGCCGGTAGGCGTCGAGGCAGCCCAGCTCGCGCCGCTGCTGCTCGTCCAGGCAGGAGGACTTGAGGGCCGAGCGCGCATTGTGCAGGTTGATGAAGTCGGCGGGCTCTCCGTGGTGGATCTGCTGGTAGTACTGACCCGAGTGCAGCGAGTTCAGCCCGTAGGCCTCCGGGGCCACGGCTGGGTGGGAGTGCTGGAACTCGTAGTGGAAGGACTGGTGGTGGAGGGGCGTGTACTGGTGGTTGGCCGAGAAGTAGGGCGAGGCGAACTCCGTCCCCGCCGGCGCCGGGTAGCTGAGCGGGGAGGAGGAGGAGTAGGCGACCGAGGAGTTGGCCACGGACTCCAGGCACCCGAGCTGCATGAGCCGGTAGCTGTTTGATCCGTCGTGACGTATCTACAAGATAATAAAGAGACGGGGAAATATATGAGCCGTGTCATTTAGCATCAGCCGGTTTGTCCTCTCTCTGCCTCCCAAACACACTCAAAAACACAACTCACACTCTCAAAGCGGGGTTTTTTTTGTTCCCACTTTAAACCACCTGAAGGAGATGTCATTTCCACACGCCCGGGAGGGGAACGAACGCACGGCAACAGGAGCCCTCGGTATTTTTTTCCCTCCCTCCCTTTGGCATGCCTGTCACTCTCTTCGCAGCGTTTTAAAAGGCGTGCTGTTATATATTATTATTATTACCGAGCTGCTGGCAAATTTACTGTCCCAGCTCTGTCGCTCATTCTGGATGGGAGGTAAGTAGAGTGAGACACAGCGGAGAGTTCCGCCCTAAAATGTTCTAATCACACTGTTGCCGACTCACACACGAGCCTCGTTTGCTTCCACACACTAATAAAAAAGCCCCGTTTTTTACCGGCAGCTGCAGGGAGATGCCCGACTCTTTTCTTCCTGCATGCATAGTATTTTTTATTATCCGTGCGATACAGTATATTCCAGTTCGAGACTTCTTGAGAGCAGATGCTGTCTCGAAATGCCCCCATAACTCAGTTTAAACCAAAGCAATATTTATTCCGCTTCTATGATAATTTCATAAATTAAAGGATGTTGAAATAAATAAGCCTACCTCTGCGTCGTGGACAAGTCCGGGGAAGGTCGTTGACATTGTGCTTTCTCCAAAGTAACCGGGATTTTTTTCCTCCGCTCACTGGCCCGATCGAATAATAATAAAAAAATGCCCTAAAATCCTCAAAAAGCGAGAGAAATGGAAAAGTCCCCCCTTGCGCGCTCTCGGAAACGGCAGAAAGCTGGCGGAAAGCGAGCGTCTCCCCTCTGCACGGACGGGGCTGGCTCACGGATTTTGTACTTGCAGGGTATTTCTCGGCTGATGTCGTAGGTCCCTTGGTAATATAGAAGTTTTGAAAATTAAGCATCAGCACTGAGGAATGGGAGGACAATAGACGGAGCGGAGCATCCCAGGAGACAAGGAATAAATATTGTATCTTCGCCTTAATAAGGAACCAAGTGCTTCTTTCAACATTTTCTACGCTTTTTGTGGACATTTTCCTTTTTGACCCGTTTGTATTTTCACATGGTCTTCTGCTCGGTTTCGTCGTGTTATTTATTTTTTTCATTTATTCACACCGGCTATGTCGTTTTTTTTTTTTACAAAAAAAGTACGGATTTTCAACGGAAATGTAAGTTTGCTTTGAAATATTATAAAGCTAATTCTGACAAATATCACCGGAATAAAACTGGATTTTCGTTTGTTTCTAAAGCAATCTTGTGATTACTTTAGTCAGCTTCGATAAAGATTTTCATTTGGAAACGGGATGTTTTTGATGCTTTTTGCATGCCTCAGATGAATTTTCATTATCACTGGTTTTAGTGCATTTTTAATATTGTGGTTTATACGGATTTCAAAATGAAACATTCCCACATGTATACACATTTTTCAGGAGAGATTCAGTCGATGTAACCACAACGGAATCAATCAGATATTTTATTTCAGTGAATGTATTAATTAAAATAGATTTAATTAAAAAACAACACGTCAGTTATTTATTATTATGACTTTAAATGATTATTAAGTATGTGCATATGTGCTCATGTAAATCGACAACGCTGCTCATTTTTTTCATTATTTTTATTAATGCATAAAAACAGCTTTTGATTATTTATTTTTTCTTTTTATGGGGGAGGGGGTTATGAGTGTTGCCTTTGTGAAGAACCGACAGAAGCACGAGACCTTGTCTTCTTTCAAATCAGCATTGCAAGTGTATGTGTGACCACAGGCGCGTACATGGTTGAATGAAAGAATGGACTACTACTGGTGCTACTGCTTTTATTATTGTTATTATTTGTATTGCTATTATTAGTGTTGTTGTTCTTGTTGTCATTATTGTTATTATTATATCTGGACATGGCAGATCAGGACTATTATTTCGGTCAGTCGGTCATCCTCGTGACCCGTCTCTCTCTCTCTCTCTCTCTCTCTCTCTCTCTCTCTCTTTCTCTCTCTCTCCCTCTCTCTTTCTCCTCGTGCTGTAACTCACCTGAGCACGCGCCCTCGGGGTGGTCTTGCCCAGCTGAACGGAGCCGTTGTGGTGTTGTAGGAAGATGATGGAGGTTTTTTTTGTATGTTATTAGGCTATTTATTTAACCTGTATATGCTTTATAAACAATTAAATAATACAATCAGGTGAAACATCCTCTTCAACACAGGTCAATTATTTTGCTGACGTCTTATAGGATAATAACACAGCATCAAATAGTAACAGGTGTACACAGCCACGCAGTGACTAAGGCACAGAGCATACATTATCAGAATGAATATTCAGACAGCAGCCTATTGCTGCCTTGCCCTTAGGCCACCCGGGGAAGCAACAGAGATACAAAACATGAAAAAGCAGAAGCCCAAAGGTTGTGGTCACAGCCTGAAGAGGAGCAAAGGGAAATAAAGGAGAGGGGAGGAGAGGAAACTGAAGGAGGAGAGAGAAGAGTCTTTCAGATTCCCTGCCATTCAAAACAAACCCAAGAGAGAGAGAGGGATGGGGGAGAGAGGGAGAGAGGGAGAGAGGGAGAGAGAGATAAGCCCTAATCAGTCTTGTTTTGGATGTTGTTTCCCTGTTCAGCTGTAACTGTAACCAACGCGACTCCCTGATATTATTAAAGTGCAGACTGTGACCGTGCTGACGCCGGGACGCTGGGATCGACTCTGCAATTTAATTAAGCAACTATTTCCCCTCCCATCTGTTACTGCATGCGTCTCTCTCTCTCTCTCTCTCTCTCTCTCTCTCTCTCTCTCTCTCTCTCTCTCTCTCTCTCTCTCTGTCCTAATCAGTTACAATAATGACAAATAATAACGACACACTAGTCAATAACCCATTTAATTTTTTTTTTTGTAATATATTAGAAAAGGTGGACATTTTTGCTCTTTTGATAGTTATTATTGATTTCTTCCTCATATGGCTGGGAAATACATTTTCCACCTCATGACCGGTCACATAGGCTAATAAATCCTCCCAAACAAGCTGAACTATTCCCAAAGATCTCCTCTTTCTTCTTGATCGCGACTATTTAGCCTATTGCAGTCGCATCAGACAAACACAAACGGCCCGGGCGGAGACACAGGAGGAGCAGGGGCCGCCTTAAATAGCCTCCCTTGAAAAGTTCTCAAGGCCTTTTATATTTTAATTAACCGTTACCGATTGTTTTGCCTCGGGGCTCGACGTGAAACCTCTGCACGAGGAGACCGGTGAAGGCCGGTTGTCGCACGCCAGGTATTAAAAAATGAAAGAGAGAGAGAGAGAGAGAGAGAGAGAGAGAGAGAGAGAGAGAGAGAGAGAGAGAGAGAGACAGT